GCCATTCATGTCAAGTTGTGTGTAGTTGCTAATATTACACCACAACAATACTGTGCCAACTTTCGAGTCCTGTGATACACTGTTTTAACTATGATCGGATCGATGTTGATCACTTGTCAATACACGGGTCAGTTGTATAATTATACAACTGTTGGTTAACCAATGTTTGACTGTCGATATTTGAATCATGAATATTGTCCAATATAATCGTCGCTAACACTGTCGTTGTCGTTTGATTGCCTTGTTCTATGAATAATCATTGCAATGTCATTTGTTCAGTTGTTGCTGGTTTATTGAAACCATATCACAATTCTTGATATATTGCACATGATCTTGTAATTGTTGGTGTTGTCTGTAGTAATTCTGTCAATGTATACGAATGTCACTTGTTGCTAATTGGTAGTTGTTTATGACTGATATACAACCGATCAGGTTTGGTGACCATTCTATGCACATATATTTAACATTATATCGGACTGCTATGTTGTTTGATCCAATAGTAGTATATGCCAGTCATACTATAATACTACATGTTTGTTGCAATATCCATACAACCTATATCCAAAACTGCACAAACACTGTCATTCAAGATTGACGAGTATGCAATCACAAATGAATCCAACGCATTTTTGCTGTATATAGTTGTATTGACTGTCGTGTCTGTTGGCTTGTCTGTTGACTTGACTAGATCTGATATTAAACGGGCTATTCAACAATTGTATTGAATTCCGGTTAGTATCGAGTAGTTTGAGTCGTTCAAGTAGTCAAGTTGCTTGGTTTGCAATGTGTTGTGTCCAAGAATCACTTGCAATCCAACCATCACCAAACCACAAGCTAACAACACCAAATGATATATGACTGGTTATATTAACACATTGCAAACACTCGACGAATTAACCATGAATCAGGTTCAATCATCAATCGCAAATATTGTCAAGGTGTGTATTCCTGGTTTGGTTGATGATTATCCGAGTATGCGGTATTCGTCACAGTTTGATTTGGTCCAAACAGGTTTTGTAATGGTTTCAACAATATCTGATGAATGACATGCTACAATCGCAGTATATTGATATTACCACATGATACAACTATTTGGTTGACCAACCGACTCGAATGTTGATGGATTATTATGCCAATCGACTGTTTTGATCCGATATCATCACACTTGACATGCCAACACATGCGACATATGATGGAGTGATGGAAATACTCGAAATACACACAATACAACTCTTGCAGCAGTGTATGAAACTATCAAGCATGACATGACATGGT